CACGCTAAATGAGACGACGTCCGATAAATTAGTCGTGGAAATCTTGAAAATTCGACATCCCAATTCGGATTCTAATTAATGGCCAAAATCCAACAATCGCAACTTTAGTATATCTCAAACTAACGGGCGGCTTTTAGGAGTTACGCGTATGGACACGTGGCCGATGACATCGAGCCACATCCAAGTTTACTTGAGCCATGGCGATCTCGGTTGTCATATAATTGCGAGGGTCAATCACTAATTCCGAAGGACACGATCTTTCGGATTAGGTTTAGGATCGTTCGAAACTCATACAATGGTTAAGCCGAATCACCCGCGTTCCGATCGTATAAGATTTGCGAATCGTTCCATAGCCATCCTTGGATCGGTCTATAATGGTACAAAATATTCCCTCGTCAATTTTATGGTCGAAGTGCCAATCCATGATCAAGTTCTTAGGTCCACGTACTTAATTCCTAGCTAGCCTTTCCCTAGCGGTTAGTATCTCGAAAGTGATCAATTTCCGAGTGAGATTTTACTGAAAGTGCATCGAAGAAATATTCATTTCATAAATCCCGAAAATGGGTCGAATTTCAGAATGTGACAGTCTCTCTCTCCTCCTTTCTTCCTTCTTCCCGGAACCAGAGCAGCCCCTGCACCGGCCTAAATGGCCACAAAAGTCTTGAATAGGCATAGGCCGATGCAAGCCATTAATGGAGGAGAGGAGAGCAGAGAAATTGGCAGGACGTCAGCCATATAAACCAGCGAGAGAGACAGAGAGAGGGTCGGGTTCCCTTTGAACAAAAAAAACAGAGAAAGAGAGCATATCGAGAGTTTACTGGTCGCGAGAAGGAAGCCAGTAGCCTCACCATCGCCCCCAAACCAGTCGAAAGTCTCCCAGATGTGCCGCCAACCTGTGAGCCTTTCCGGCCCCCGTTCCGCTCTGTCCGCCCCTGTTTTTGTGTGCAGTTTGGTCGGGACTCACGCTGCCTATTTCGCGTGAATCCCGACCCATACCATCGTTCACCGTAGCCTGTATATCATCATCAAAGGTCGGTACATGTCACCGGAGGACGCTGGAGCTTGGTAATAGGTCCAAATCTCCCGTTTTCATCCGCGCACGCCATGTGTTTGTTAAAATGTCACAATGAGACCGATTTGATTTTGAGTTCCGCCGGTGAGTATATGGTTGTGCAGCAGTTCAAATGTTTTAGATTGGCTTTGTATTAGTCACTAGAGATTAAAAGAAGCCAAGACTCGGCCTGGGTACGCCGATCAAGTTCCGACCGGCATTTGAGTTAATGAACTCCGGTCGAGGCCTGGCCGGAGATCGGTTCGGTCAGCTCTCCGGCGACCAGGCGATGGGCTCTCTTTAGCTTGGTGTGCTGAAGAGAGTGGTGCCACTGGCCGAACAAAATAGCTAGCAAATTGCCGGAATTTCGTCCGGTCAGTAGCCCTTCCTCTTGCGTCTAAAGCGCAGAAGAGCCGGACGAACCGGCCCTGTTCGATCGGATCGACCCGGTTCGATCGACCTATTTTGTCCATTTGGAATAAGCTAGTCCCTGGTCGGGTCTGGCCCGGTTCATTGGCATAGGTATGTCATGGCTCGATCCGGATCCGAAAATCCGACCCGAATCAGTTATTCGGGTCGGGTTCATGGAACCGGGTCAGTTTTGACCAAACCCGAATCCGATTGACTCAACCTTGCCGATTATTATTATTTTTTAATTTTTTTAAAAATTTGAAAAAAAAATTACTTTTTTTGTTTAATTACTTTTTTTATTTTCAACCCGGTTTAATATTTTAAAAAATAAATAAATAGATATTTTTTAAAATATTTTTCTTATTTCTTTTAAAATTAGGAAATAGTTTAAAAATTAATATTTTGTTTTTATTTAAATTTTGTGAATTACTTGATAATTAATCATGTTTCAATCGGATAATCCTATAGGGCATGCGGTATTATTTTGCATGTTATTACTACTATTGTATCATTATTATGCATGTTGTTTCTAATTAGAATATAATTACATAAATTGACATGTTTTAAATGTTGTCGCCTTTTAGTTAGGGTTAGAACTATAGGCTACATATCTGTCTTGACTGCTAATTGTTAATGATTGTACACTTGCTCGATCACCTCACATGTTAGGACAAAGGTCCTAAAAATTAATCTAAATAGCCTGACAAAATGTTTTCTGAAAAGAACAAGGTAAAAAGGTACCGAAAGGGCATTAGTTATTTAACTAGTATAACTAAGTCCTCGAACTCATTTAATCTCTAGTTTGCAGAAGTAAGCAATTCTCCCATTGTCTTACTTGGGTGTCTAATCGACCCACCATAAACCGATTAGTGGCGACTCCTAGATAAAACCACTTGCAGGTTAAAAACCTAAACCCTAAGTCGCGATATGGTATGGGCTTGGGAGAGCCCGAGTTAAATCCCAAACTTAGACTTAGCGCATACCAGGCGAGACCCTCGTTTTTTGAAAATAAAACCGGAGGTCGGTCGCGACACCAACGCGACAAACGGAAAAGATAGAGGGTCAAGGAGACAAAAGCAATACCACAATTTACATGATTCAGCGACTGGCTTATGTAAAATGCAAGAGAAGGGCAAAGTAAACAAAACCTCAACTGTGCGTCATTTCTTGTAAATCTCAGTTTCAGAAAGAAAGAAGAAGCTACAATGATAAAACCCATTGTAACTAGTTTATGAGTGAGTACAAGTGGAATTTCTGAATAAGTAGGATTTGTACAACGCTCATCTATAATCAGTTTTCGTAAATTAGTACTAGTGCACCTTATTAGTTTGGGATGATCTATGTGAATTTCAACCTCTTGTTATTTTTCACTTTTTGCCCTTATCATCTGTTCTTTATAGTTGATAATATTGAATGCGATGCCTTTTTATGAGTCGACCTATTGTTGTAGATTCAAAGGACATTCAATTGAATATTTCATATCACAGACAACCGCAAGGGTCCCTATATATAGTGGTATTTTAAATTGTGTTCCACGTACTAGTGTTTGATCACTAGCGACCCCTCTGGAGAGAGAGAGAGAGAGAGAGAGAGAGAGAGAGAGAGAGAGAGAGAGAGAGAGAGAGAGAGAGAGAGAGAGAGAGCCAGCCTATTACAGGGTGGCAGTGGTGTTTTATAGAGAACATTGCTGAAAAATCTCATCTTTTTTTTGGTGTGAAATGTAAGCATCATTCATAAGTTGACGTACAAAAGCTTAGGGGCATTCCTCAGCATTACAAATAAGACTATGATCATGAAAAAATGGAGTGTGGGAGTCTCCATATATTAGCCAAAATTACATTTGCCCTAGAAGATCTGAAAGTTTTGTAGTATGAAGCTCGCCCTCTAACAAGTTTATGAACTTTAGCCAATATGATGAGGGCATCATTTGACTTGTGTTGGAAACGTCTATGATTACGCTCCACCCAGATGCAATAAATAATAGCTAGGAAAGATACATTGAGAAGTCTAGCCGCCAAATCCTTGCCTTTGGAAGCATTTATCATCCATTTGAGTTTTTCATTCCATCCTCCTATAGACCGCAGGATTCCATATTGTGCAAGGATAGTACGCCAAATGATTTTAGTCCAGGTGCACTGGAAGAATAGATGATCTTTGCTTTCCTTATCAAATAGATAGAAATTGCAATGGCTATCTACTTGAGGCTTCCAACATGATACGATCACTATTGTGGGTAGTCCATCTCTACATGCTAGCCAGTCGATAAAGTTGTGCTTATTGATACCGCATTTCTAGATCAACTGGCACCATTCCACAGTTGGTCCTGCCCTCCTGGTTTCATCATATATCTCTTGGCAACAATATATTGGCTTAGATATGGCTGAAGCTAAAGCCGGTCATAATTGAAGGATACAACGCCAACTCCATGCCATAGTACCCTTGATTTCAAGCCGCATAATTGGATTTCCTCTACATTTTGCACTGTGAACCCATTTACTCCACAGGGAAGATGGCAGACAATTTAAGAGGTTCCAAAGCATGCGGCTAAGCAAAACTTTATTCCATAATTTGAGATCAAGCAACCCTAGTCCTCCTTCCTTTTTTGGCAAGCAAACAACATCCCAAGCAACTTTGTGAGATCCGTGGCCTTCTGTATTTCCAACCCATAAGAATTTTCCAATTGTAGTCCAAAATGTCCAAAATGTCCCATAGAATAGACTATTCTCTTGAAGGCCATCTCCATTTTCCTCCTCACCTAGCTAAAACCATTCTGGCTCTTCACTTATTTGTTAGTTTTGGTGTCATTTTGTAGTTTAGTTTAGTTGGTTCTGTTGGAATCTCTCTCTCTCTCACACAAACCTCAAAGAATAATAACACCACTAGCACAAAAAAAAATTAATGATACCCTCCTGGTGGAAAAAAAGAGATATATATATACACACATAAGCGGCCTTATACACCATTGATTTTATATAGTGGATGGTAAAATCTTCATTTTTAGGGTAGATAGAGCCAGTTGTGTAAAATTTTCTTTACACTGGCAGTATATGCTCTATCTTTTTTAATTAACGGCTAGTAATTTGTATTTAATTCCTATATTGAGTGATCTAAAATTATACTCTTATTTGTCATCTACTGATGGCGGTTGATACTCACTTTTGTCATCTACTGATGTATGATATTATATGATGAAAATTGTCAATTCACATGCACTTGAAACTTGATTGTCCCATTCCTAATGACGTCCTTATTAACTTGCATGTGATCCCCTTCCTCCCCCTAATGATTCTTTTTCCAACCCACCATTTTTCTCAGCAAGAGAGCAGGACAATAGAGTTTCGGACTTCTCCGATGGAGGCCTTCCAAACCACGACGATCAATGCCCCGATAGTAGAAAGATCCGTCCCTTTTGCCGTCCTGCCAGAACAAGAAACACCCGGGGGTTCCCTTTTCTTAAGTAGCATCAATCAAGTGCCTGTTTTTTACATGTCAATGGTTTATTCTCGATTGTAATGTTTTACGAAGGCTTGTTTATACAGATCCTACTGAAAATATGCTAGAAGTCACACCCTTTTTAACAGCACAGGTTACGAGCTTCTCTTTCTTTCTCTTCTGCTAATGGTTAACACTTTTCTTTTCTATTCTATTTTCTTTGGCTTTCTTGTCTATTATAATGGTGAGATCATTTTGGTAGACTTACATTTACATTCGATTAGTTAATGTCACGCTCCACGTGCATTCTAGAGGTAGTTGGTGACAGCGTAAGTAAAGATAGCCTTTTTTATATCATTAGTTGGTAGGGAAAAGTGTCAAAAAAGTCCTAAACCTTTTGCATTGGTGCCAATTTAGTGCTAAACCATTTTTTGTGTCAATTCAATCCTAAACCTTTTACATTTGTGCCAATTTAGTCCTAAACCTTTTTTTATGCCAATTGAATCCTAAACCTTTTGCATTTGTGCAAATTCAGTCCTAAACCTTTTTGTCTTTGTGTCAATTCAGTCTTTCCGGCCAATTTTGGCGGGATTTTACTGACGTGGACGCCAGCCGATCACCGGCACTGACGTGGACAACTTTTAATAATATTTTAATATTTTTTGAATTTTTATTTATTCTTTCTTCTTTTCTTCTTTTTTTTTTCTTCCCTCCTTTCTCCGACCGGTCGCCGGACCGGCGACCGGCAAGAGGCTAGAGGCCAGCGAGGCTTGGCCTCGCTGGCGACGGCGAAGGCAAGCCTCACCAGCTACTGGGCGAGGCCCAACCTCGCCAGATCTAGCGAGGTCCAGCCTCGCTGGCCGCTAAATGAGGCACGACCTCGCTCGATCTGGTGAGGTCCTGTGACGTTCTGAATTCGACCCACTTTCGCGACCAATGAAATAGATGTGTATTTCTCATTTCATTTTAGTAAATCTCGCCAGGAACTGATCACTCTCGGGATACTAACCAATAGGGAATGGCTAACTAGGAAAACGGTACGTGGACCCAAGAACTCGACCGTGAATCAACCTTCGATTCCGAGGAATGACGAGGGAATATTTTGGGCCAATGTGGGCCGATCCAAGGAAGGGTCACGGATCGATTTGCCAACGACGTACGATCGGACCGCGGGTGATTCCGCATGACTGATGGTGTGCGTGACGAACGATCCCAAACTTATTGCGAACGATCGCGACCTCCGAAACTAGTGATGGACCCTCACGTTTTCTTGGTAATCAAGGCCACCATGGCTCGAGTAACCCTAGGTCGATACGCGTAACCCCTAAAAAGCCGCCCGTTAGTAGGAAACGCTAAAATCGCATTTGAGCGAAATTGATCGTTGAGTTAAATCCGGACTTGAGTGTTGAATTTCACGGACGTACACGACTAATTTTCAAGGACGATGTCGTATTAGTGTGGCCAATCATATTTGGGATCGGTTTGGTCGGAAAATTGAATTTTGGACCGGGAGTGAAAAATTACCATTTTGCCCTTGAACCCTATGCCTTAATTCTGCAAATTGGAGGTTATTATGGACTTATTCAGCCCCAAGAATGACCAAAATTCATAGACTCTATTGCCCCCATCACGCTTGCTAATTCCCAATTTTACCCCTAGATATTTTGTTCTAGAAGTGATCCTAGCCTTTAGTTTTAGATAAGATTATTTGGCCCTTGAATCTTAGCCCTTGGATTAGAGCTTAGTGGAGTGGGTAGACTTGTCTTTGTTAGTGGAGTAGTTCACCTAACCACACTCATGGTTTTTGATAAAACACACACACACACACACACACTCTCTCTCTCTCTTTCTCTCTCTTCTCTCATTTTCCCCCCATTTGGCCGAGACAACCCCCCCCTCTCACTCTCTCAATTCTCTCTTCTCCTCCACACTCACGTGAAGCCAGCCCGCCAGAGCAGCCTACCAGCCGCGGCCGTGCCGCCCACGTCGGAGCTGCATGCCACCGCCGACCTCGTGATCGCCTCACGCACCACCACCACCGCCGGCCTCACCCTTACCCTCTCCTTTTCCACGACACATCACCATCACCGTCACCCTCCCTCGCCATCTTGCTCAGCCGCGAGCCACCAGCCTATCGCCGCCGCCGCCGTTCGCCGTGAACCAGTGGCCACCTAGCCCTCATTCCCCCCTAGTTCGCCGCCCCCCCCCCCCCCCCCCCTCCCTTGAGCATAGGACTTGGGTGAATGGAAACCCTAAATCCTAATTAGGCTTTTGTGCATTTTAAGCAAGTTTAGGGGTTATTTAGGGAGATTTAGGGGTTGTTAATGGCTGGTGATTAGGGCTGATGGTGAGGTGATTTTTGGTAGCCTAATGTGCTGTTTTAAAGGTGAATTAGAGGCATATAGCGGGCTGCTTTATGATCGAGAAGTGTCGGCTTGATTGGACTATATGTTGTTAGCCTATGGTTTAAATGTGGATTGCTATGTGTTCTATGGTTGGACCATGAAGTGGCTGAATCATGCATGGCTTGAATTAATTGTGTGATGTGGTGATGTTATAGTGGTTGCTTGATATGGCCGAGGAAGGAGGGGACATCGTGGGCCATAGGCATGTGTGATTTCAATGACTTAACAGTATAATTTTTGTACGCCAAATTGTGGACCGTGGCTGAATTACCTTGAATGGCGAATTGAGCATGTTGTTATGTTGGATTGAGTGAATAATGTGGATATAATTGATGCCTCGATTTCTGGATGATATGGCCATGATTTTGTGCATAGCGAATGACGGCATAAAATGTAAATCATGTGAGTTTGCATGAATATCATTGAGCATGTGATCACCTAAAATACCCTGAGGCATCGTTTATGCGGGGTTCAGATAATAATTGGCGAAGTGTGTACATGTGGTCACATAAGCCCTGATGCGTTTAACGCGGGGTATTGAACCCGTCCTGAGGCGTTTAACGTGGGACGATGCCCGGTTTACCGGATGATGGCCAACCTGAGGCGTCGTTCATGCGGGTTGTGTCATGGACTTGAAGCGTGTTACGCGAGTCCCGAGCAGTGATGGACCTGATGCGTTTAACGCGGGTCGGAAGTTGATTGGAAATTGGCACGTGTGCAAATTGTGCATTAATGAGTGCAAGTATGTGAACGGCAAGTGTTCATGGCCAAGTGTTAATGCGTATGTGCCATTATTGGTTTGTGTATTATTATTATGTGCCTAATCTGCAGGGTGGATATGTGCCTGATTTGGGCCCGAGGGCCTAAGTCGTTTGATTACTCAACTGTTTGTTTGGATTATTACTTGTCTGGAGGTGCATGATAGCCTAGGTTAGGTTTAGGGGGCCTACTTACTGAGATTCGTTCTCACTGTTGTAATCCCCAACATTTCAGACCCCCGACCTTGAGGATGGCTAGCGTACCACTACATTTTGGGTTCCCGAACCATATAGAGCGTTCGGTGATCGAGTACCCTGGTTGGAACGGGGAGGCTTATATTAGATATTACACCATCGTATGGGTCGATGAGGGCGGGTCACAGCTCAAGGCCCACACTTACCTTGGTTGGTGCTTTCGAGACCAGTCCGGCTTTTATGGACCCCTTAGGACCTTTGATGTTCCGATTGACGGGTTAGGTCAATGGGATCTGCAGGCAGCTGATGGGGAGGTAGTAAGCCCCGACTCTGTGTCCGAAGCGGATTCTGATCCACGGCCCATCATCATAGAGTCTGACGAGGAGGAGGAGATTATGGAGTGGGAGTCCGATCCCGATCCGGAGCCGATGGAGCTTGAGTCAGAGCCGGAGGAGGATCTCGAGGTGGTACCAGAGCCCGAGGATGACCCCGAGGAGGAGCCGCAGGAGGTCGAGTCTGAGCCCAAGTCGATGTGTTCCGAGTTCGAGTCGTCTGACGATTCATCCGAGTCTTCTGGATCCGATTCGGATTGGGTTCCACCTAGGGGTTAGCTTAGGGTTTAGTAGCGTTTAGGGCCGACACTTTTTGAAGGGAGCCCTTTTTGGATATAGTACCTAACCGCCCCGAGCCACGAATCCCTTTTTGATGACGGTGGCTCGCTGACCCATTTTGGCCTATGTATATTTCCGTCGCTAATGGATGTTGTAAATCCTCTTTGATTATTGTAAGTATGTGTTTATGAGGTATGTTGCTGTGTTTGTCATGTTTGTCTTCCGTTGCTAACTTGGTCATGTTTATTAGTGTTTGGGTGTGTGATCGTTTCCGCATGTGTATTTTCTCTTATCCGTTGTTTTGGGTCAGCGACGAGTCCTGGGACGTCGCACTAATTCGACCGTAGAAGGGATGCCGCGTGCCGTATGGGTTTGGGACGTGACAGGTCCAGCCTCGCCTAGCCATGGCGAGGCTCGCCTGATCTAGTGAGGTCCAGCCTCGCCTAGCCATGGCGAGGCTCGCCTTCGCCGTTGCCAGAGAGGGCGAGCCTTGCCAGGGGCCGGCAAGGTCAACCTCGCCGGCGGCTGGGCGAGGCACGACCTCGCCAGTGGCCGGCAAGGTCCTCATTGGCCTCTGGCCGACCGACGACCAGTTGGAGGAAGAAGGGAGGAGAGGGGAAAAAAAAGAAAAAAGAAAATAAATAAATAAAAATTCAAAAAAATATTAAAATATTATTAAAAGAGTTCCACGTCAGCGCCGGTGATCTGCCGCCGGCTGGCCGGCGTCCACTTCAGCAAAATCGGACCAAAATTGACCGGAAGGACTGAATTGGCACAAAGACAAAAATGTTTATGACGGAATTGGCATGAATACAAAAGATTTATGACTGAATTGGCATAAAAAAAAAAGGTTTATGACTAAATTGGCACAAATGCAAAAAGGTTTAGGACTAAATTGGCACCAAAAAAAGGTTTAGGACTGAATTGACACAAATGCAAAAGGTTTAGGACTTTTTTGTCCCTTAGTTGGTAACTTCTCAATTTAGTAGTTGAATTTTCAACATATAGCAAAAGTAAGGTTCGACTTATTTAGAACAAGTAATTTCAATGTGACTTTCTATAATCAAAACAGATTTCTATGATCAATGGAAACTTTGACTTGTCAACTTTTGCAATCAAGATAAAATTCCTGTGAATTTTCTTTATACTATGATAACTTTCAAGTCTTAGAACTAGTTTGTGATTCCCTATAGACATTATGACTTCTTCTTATAGATAGTAACAATCGATATCAACTTCTTAAAATTAAATGCCGTACAGATTTTATCCTTCATGTAAGAAATCTCATTAGTCGCATCTTGCTATGATCTCTTTGATAAAAAGTTTAGACATTATTACATAAACTAGGTTCATCCACTTTGAAATCCATCTCTAGCTACCCCTGTTGAATTTATTGGGTCCCAAAATATTTAACATTGGGCCTATCAGACACAATGTTTCAATTTGACGCAACGTATATACACATAATTCATGGAAAACTGCCATGCAAGAATTGATCCATTTACATTACATTTGTTGCATTTTATTTTAAGATGCTACTAACTCTGGTGACAAATTAAACAGGTAACGAAGTTTAGATGTGGAGGTTTCACTGTAGGAATCGCATTTAATCACTGCATGTTTGATGGTACCTCTTTAATGAATTTTATGAACTCATGGACTGAAATAGCAAGAGGTAGACCGTTATCCCTCATCCCTCGTCATGATAGAACCATTATGAAGTCAAGGGTTCCTCCTCAAATCACTGGTACTTCCGACAGCTTTGTTCACATTAGTGATGTATCAGACTTGAAGGCATTATATGAGGAAGAGCAAATTGTGTGGAAATCTTTTCACTTTGACAATCAAAAGTTGGCAACCCTTAAAAAAATGGCGACAACTGATGAACAGGTAGACGTTGCGTTCTTTGCTACACATATAAATGTTGTCCTTTATTTTCAGCTAAATTAGGTCTTGTGGTAATGGAGTGGTGGCACTTCAAACACACATTGTGAAGATACAAGATACTAAAAGTTGGGGATTGTGTTGCAAATGAGTAAGAGTACATCGATCCCCCATCACTTATTGTAGGATCACTCACAATCAATTCCACAAGAATTTCATCTATTTAAACATTTATAGCCAAAATACACATAATCATATTATTTCATAAACATTGAATTAGAGATTTACTTCAATAAATCGAAAAACACTAACGATTGAAGGTGGAGAACAGATCATAAGCAGCTGCTCCAGCTTCGTAGCACTTGCAGCCCTAGTGTGGCGGGCTCGAACCATCGCACTCAAGATGAAACCGGACCAACTGTCAAAGCTTCTTTTTCCTGTTGATTTACGGTCTAAGATGAAACCGCCAATGCCCGGATACATCGGGAATGCCGTCAAAGCTTGCTGTCTCTGCACCGCAGGAGAGTTGATCGATGAGCCAATGTCTTTCACCGCGGGGAGGATACAGGAGGCAATCGAGAGGGTGAACGAGGACTACGTGTGGTCGTGGATACACTCCTTGGACGTGTATCAATTCGACCTTCTCTCGTTGACCTCGCTAGTGTTGGTTTCGTGGCAAAGGTTTGATTATGGCTCCACGGACTTTGGATGGGGAAAGCCAAGGACTCTTGGCACTGGTGACCTGTCGCCAGGTTGTCTATTTATGGCGGATGGGAGTGAGAAGGGGGGCATTGTGGCGGTGTTGGTTTTGCCACTTTTGGCTATGAACACATTCGAGAAGCTGGTACAACTTGAGTGATAAATGCTCGACACACCAAGTCCGGGCATATTAAATGCGTTAACGAAGTGATAAGCAGAGTGTGTTACATCGCTAAGGGTCCAAAATAAGTCATAATCTCTTTCTTTCATATTCCTGCTTATCATGCTACTCTTATTTTTTCTTGTTTGGTGGGTTACATTTCTTGAAGTAGAACTCACATGCAACTCTAAAACACATCACCAAGAATAAGAAAAGGTAAGGTAAATAACGAGAAGTAGCCCACCCTTTCTCTCTATTTTCCTCTCTCTACTTGTTCAACCCATGGCCGCTGCGCTGCACCACCATTCCGCTCCACCCCACTGTCGTGTCCCTGCAGTTTCCAGCAATCAGCCTCGCCGCGCCCACCAATGTCTCCATTATGGCACACGTCCAATGCAAGCTAATTGACCAAAATCCACCTCCATGGAAGCACCAAAACTGAAGATCGACCATGGAAAGGTCACACACCAACCGCAACCCTGTATATGGTGTCTGACCATGATCAACCTCAGATCAGCTGATCTAAGATCGCTCTCGTGTATGTATATATATATATATATATATATATATATATATATGGAGACAGAGAGAGAGAGAGAGAGAGAGAGAGAGAGAGAGAGAGAGAGAGAGAGAGAGAGAGAGAGAGAGGAACACAGAGGGAGGAAGAGACGCGGGCTTGACATTGGTGGGCATGAGGTTCAATGGCCGGCGACGTCATGGCAATGCCTATGTCGGCATCCTTCTATGTAGCATCAATATTCCAAGAATCCCCACTACTGTCTGTCACAGGAGTTTGGGTGAGGTTAATTGCATCTGGTTGAGACGTAGGAGTGTGCAAAGGAACAGGAAACTGTCCGGAACCAGACCAGACCGGCCCAAAACCGGTGGTTCCCAGTTCCAATTTATTGGAATTGCCCACCCAAATTGGATCGATAATATATATTTAATTGTAAGAAAAATGGAAATCCTAAATCCGTAATTTGAAAGCTCGCTTGTCCCGTCTCACTCTCATCTCTGTCTCTCTCGTCTCAACTCTCTCAAGCAACTCCCTCGGTCTCTTTATCTCTTGACTCACGGCCTCGACTCTCAAGCTCAACTCCCATCGACTCATGGCCACGCCTTCGGTCGTTCGTCGCCTCCCTCTTTCGCTCTCGGTCATCTCCATTTGTTGTAAGTTGGAATCCCTAATCTTCAATCTACTCATTGTCCGAAGTACTAAGAGGAAAGTGAAGTATTCTTTGAACGTGTTTAAGAGGAAACTCTTTGGGTTTGGGCTGCAAGGAAACCTCATTATGGTCGGTCTAGCTCGAAAACTCTAGAAAAATTAAATGCCGAAATCCCCAATCTATAAGTTGTTTGTTTGTTTGTTTAATGTATAATATGCAATTGTGTCTCATGGCTTGTGGATCTCCCGAGTTCAAGTCGAGTGATTCAAATTGTAGTTTGTATGCTCTGTCCTGTTATCCTCTCTCTGTCTCTGATTTGTCTCCTTTTCTCTCTAAATTGTATTTACGCACGAAGTGTCTTGGTCATGTATGTGTGGTAGCCGGCGAGTGATGGTGTATACTTGGTGATGGTTGGACATGATTGATGGTGGGGTAAAGTGTATGTGTGTTGTTCTCTTTACTAAGCTTGTGTCTGTTGTCCTTTGCGTAAAACTTTTGTGCATTGATCTCTGGTGAAGTGGTCGTGTGCCCTGTTCTCCAAAATGAAGAGTGCACATTATTAGTTTTTTCAACAAGACAACTTAATAAAGTCGCTTGCTAAAAAACAAGCACTGATCACGTGAAGCTTGATGGGACCGGTTCCATGGACCCATTCGAAAACGTACCACCTGGTTAACGGGCGATTTAATTCCTAGTTTCAATTTTTTGAAATCGTTCCTTAGTGAGCAGTTCGCGATTTCAGGATGGAACCACCCACCTTGGAACCGATCATCCCTAAACACGGCAATGCGGCAAGAGGGGCAATGATAGGAATAGGGCGTGCAATACAAGAAAAGCACCCTAAGGGGACAGTTACCTCGAACTCGACCTTGGCTTAGGTTACGAAAATGCGGCAAAGTATAGCCTTTATCAGCTAAGGGTCGACCAAAGGCAACAAATCATTAATTTTGTTGTCGTAGAGTTGACTAAAGGTAATAAATTCTTAAGTTTGTTTCCGTAGCTCATATCTTAAAGGAGACAAAATCAGACTTTCCCCGCATTGAGTTTTGAACCGACGACGATAAAATTAGTTGCCGCCTTAAGTTTTGAACCTACAGCGATAAACATGAGATTTCGTCACCTTAGGTGAGACCTAAAGGACAAATCATGGTTTCGTTGCCTTAGCTTAGACCTAAGGTAATAAAACATGGTTTTTTCACCCTAATATCATACCCAAGTGATAAAATTCAAACCTCGTCGCCGTTGAGGAAAGAAAATATTGCCAATAGTGAAAAGATGAAAATATCGTCGCCTTGGGTAAACCTGAAGCGACAAAATCATTTTGATTGTCACCTTTGGGTATAAGTTCATGTGACCAAATTCTTGTTTCGTCGTCTTTGGGTATGACCTGAGGTGAAAAAAATTAGTGTTTCTTGCCCTTTGGCCGACCCTAAGAATTAGTCGCCCAAAGGCGACGATAAGGAACCCGGTACGAGCACTGGGGTCTCAAGCCCAACCAACTCCCAAGCACGAACATAGGCACTGGTCTTGGATCCACCGAAATCGACCCCGAGAACTCGATGCCTATGCCTGGCTCCCCGGCGCTCCGGCCCTGATCTATAGAGGCCGCGCTTAGGTCCTCAGCTCCTAGGCCTCGGTTGGACTTAGAGCTAGGACCCTAGCACTTGGGATTGGAACCCCGGCTCTTAAGCCTCCGGGCTTGGGTCAATTGAGGCTGGCCCCCAAATCGATGCTCAGCTGAACCTAGGTCCATTGAGGTTGGGCATGGGCGCCCATGCCAGAGTCTATTGAGGCCAAGCCCCAGTCCTCGGCACTTGGGCCTATACACGTCATCGATGGACCTAGGTGTGGGCGCAGGGGACTTGGGCTTGGCTTCGATGGACCAGGCTTAGAAGTTGGGGGACTCGGGCATGGCCACTAGGCTATGTGGAAATTGGCCTTGATGAACCCAGGCATAGACACCAAGGACCTAGGCCTGGCCTTGATATTACCGGGCACCGGTGTCTCGGGCCAAGCCTTGATGGACCCGGGCATGGCGGCCGTCAGGCGAGGCCTGGATGGCCCTTGGCCAAGTCGCCGGGGTCCGAGGCCTAGCCTCGATGGACTTGGGCGTAGGCACCGAGGACTCGGCCCCGTTGCCAAAGGCCTGGGAATGAGTGTTGGGATTTTGATGTCAAAGCATAGAGTTTCTGGTCCAAGAGCTGATACCTAGTCATATTTTGGAAAATGATTTTCGATTTTTTGAAGAGGAAATCATCTTTCTGAATTTAAGCTTGATAGGAAAACATTTTCTGTTGACTCATTTTTCTAAACGATCCAAATATAAGAAAATGTTTTTCACGAAACAAACAGAGCCTAGAAGTCAGATAAACTAGTAATTTGAAGGTTATTTAGAAATTAGTACAATCATTTGCGTAAATCTTTTACTTATTGACTTTATGAAATTCTCTTGACTATACTGACAAGTTGATTTTGAGCTTCAAACGTTTCTTTATAATGGCTTAATAGGTTAGCTATCTAATAGATTATTTAAATTTGTTATTATAACTAAATTAATTGTGCTTGTCATTAACCATAGAGAAACACTACAATGCTAACATAAGTTGCAACGGTGATTAAATATTAATTTCAATTTTGTCAACTATTTCCACACATGTGGTCTATTTAAAGTAAATGAACTACAAATATCTTGTATTATATTTGTACTATTCACAAATCCCTCTCGTCCTCAACCACGTAGTGTCTCGTCGTTATCCTCTAGCGACGCCAACGTTGTGACCGTCCCGAGGGAGTTGAAGGATTGCCAAGCGGGAGCAAACGTTTCTCCTTGCAAGGCGGCATTAGCGCTTGGTTCAAGTTGTCCCCAACCTTACCAATTGGAACTTGGTTTTTCTCGACTAACTTATGGAAATTCTTTTTATGTTAAGAGCCACTATTAATCTATTAGAGGCTGGTTAGAGACCAAGTAAAATGCAGGATGCTATTTTACATCTGCGAACTATAGATTTGGATCTAAGGATTTGATTCTTCTAGATGTCTACCCAATGCCCAAATTGGTACCAATTTCTTCAATGAAAACGTATTTCAGGCAATCTTCCCAATTCATTCCCTAAAATCTTTCTAGATGTCCGTGCATTAATGCTCAAAGCAATAAAAATTAAATTAATAAATAATAAACCAAAATAAATAACGGAAAGGAACATAATATGACATATGGAAATTTTCATATTCAATAATAATATTTAGGATTAATTTTCACAACCGGATTGCCAGGAGTCTGAGGCGTTAAGGTTAAGTTGCTAGATTATGACGTGTACATTAGTGGTGTAGGGCGATGATACTTAATTCACCGTCATATTATTTGTAGAATAGGGCTGGTATATTCTAAAATTCATATTTGATTCAATTTATTGAATTGAGATTTTCCTAATTTTTGATATTGTTCATTAATGATTTTAGTGGATTCAAAATATTTTCAGACTTGTCAATGTTCATAATCAAATGTTCAGATTGAATGTCGATTTCCTAAATCTCTATTTCTCTCCAATTGACACGCTCATTACTCATTTACCTTCTACTCAATATTTAAAACCATGTTTTAGTTGAGACATTAAATTTGGCAACCTTGACATCATGCCTTACATCATATATTTTAGCTTACGTGAATAAATGCTATTGATGATTTACCCACTTACTTGGCCGAAGAAGAGAGAGTCATTTCCTCTTCATCAAAATATCTTCTTGTGGCAAAATTTTATTGGGCCATTTGCACTCTAGCTATTTTCATAGGGGAAACTTGAAGTTCATCTATTAGAGCATTTGGCAATTTAACCCAATGTCATTATGACTTTAACCTTAGTTACTCCATTTCATTCTCTTCTAATTTTTACAGTGTAGTAGGATCCTTGAGAATACTCAAGATCCAAGGATAAAAAAATTTACTTCATCATCTATCAATCACCAACTTCCTTCTTCCAACCTTCGTTTTAAAAACCCACAAATAGAAACGAAGGTCCCACACTCGAATTGATTAAACTTTTTGTCTCAATCTTTTGAGTATGAACGAGGTAAATCATATAATTTCACTACTTCCTACCAATGGATTTTGTTATTTTTAAAATTTAACATTGTTGATTTTCGGTTTTGTTTATTTTGCTTAAAGTTGATTTAAAGCTCTGAGTCTGAATTCATTTTCAAGGTAAGTGAAAACCCTAAGCAATAATTTGGGTTGATCCACTGGTACTTTTGACTTGGTTGGTTGATTTGTGTGATTTTAGTCTTAGTGAATTTGATGGTAAGTGTTAGTAATTGCAATAGTGGTGTGTCGAGATGTGTTAATTTGATTTGTTTTGATGATGCTTACGTGCCTAAAAGGGTGTTTGATTGGTTTTCTTAAGGTGTAGTAACATGTTGAACTTGGAAGTGTTATTTTTGTAATTTCAGATTTATCCGTGGTTAGTAATATTCACTTATTGATTCTGAGTACATTTACTTACTGAGTCGAAGTACACTTATTTACTTTATGAGTCTGAACTGCTCTCTAAGTTTGAATCGTTTTCTGAATCTGAACTGCTCTCTGAGTCTGAATCGTTTTCCGAGTCTTAACTGCTTTATGCGTCAGAATTGCTCTATGAGTCTGATTTACTTTTTGAATCTGATGACCTTCTATTTAGACTTACCCATTCAATATCATTACTTAATGTTCAGACTCTCCCGTCCAGAATCATCACGTTATGTTCAGACTTACCTGTTGAGTATCAATACTTAATGTTCAGACTCACTAGTCCAAAATCATCACCTTTTGTTCAAACTTACTCGTTGAGTATGAATACTTAATGTTTAGATTCATCTGTTCAAAATCATCATTTACTATTTAGATTCACTTGCCGAGTATACCAGTTGTTGAATTATTGAATGTGTTAGCATGAAAAATGGAAAAGAGATAAACACGTGGGTATCACCATCGATGTATGTAATCATTAAGTAAGCAAGGTAATGATATGAATGAAAATGTGTTGTGAATTGGATGTCGATTGTTGAAATGATTATTGGTTTCATTCTTGATGCAAGGAAAATCATGCGGTATTAATGACGTGTGCATGACATCATATGACCAAACTTGAAGAGTAATGTGAAATGCAATTCTTTCACCTATATAGTGGTGTATGATGATGCCTCGGAGTTGATATGCTCTGCTGTGTAATTGGGATGCCCCATGGTGGAGTCTTGAGAATGCTTTGGAGTTGAGAAGCCCTGCTGTGTGATCTGGATGGCCCAGGAGTGTTCGGGAGGAAAAATAAAAATGAATATAATGCATGTTCATACGTATGCATATATTCACAAGTCATAAATGAGTGGTAACCATGAATTGTAATATATTATGTCATCTGCTTGCATCGAAAAGAGTAAATTTCATGCCACTTTGTTAATGATTTCCATCGGCATATCACAACAAGAAAGATAATGCAATCTTTCGCGCTCTCATTTCACATGGTTATCTTGTTTGACTCAGAACTCACGTTGTTTACTGGGCTTCGGTTCATTCCTTATTTTTCAGACATGTAGGATGGATTGCCCACTGCCTTTGCTTTTTGGAGCTCTCATGCATTACGAGTGTGTTTATGAGAATGTGTTTATACTTGGGTCAGAAGAGATATGTACTAAGTGTACTTCCATCGTATTGGTTGATGTGGAGTTGCTAGAGTGGATTCCCCATCATTTTGTTGCTTGGTACATGAACATTGAGGGTGCGTTGGTTAGACCATTGAGAGGCTTCAATGGCGAAGGCGATGAGTCGACGGGTGAGGTTGTCAACCCGTAGAGGAAAGCTAGACTTTTGTATAGGCAGGCTTTTGGGCGAATAAGAGTAGTGTGGCGATAGGTGACCCTAACCCCTTCCTAGGACTTATATGTTTTGTGGTAATTTTTGGAATGTTGTATTGCGAAAGTAATACTAATGTGAACATAATGAGATTTGTGTATAATATTTAACTCGTGCGACTTCCTATATGTGATGTTGGTCATGTTTTATTTCGCTTTCGCATGCTAATTGGAAAATATAAATCAAACTTGAAAATGACGTGTGTAGCGTGTGACGCACCTGGAGTGTCACACATAACCTTTATTATTAATGCCCTAAGACAGGACCCCATGAGCGATGTATGATATAAATGTGCAAGCCCAAACAAAACGTGGATGCAATTTCTAATAATTAAATCTACCATGTGTGCAAAGAAATCCCATCTTAATGTGCAACAATATTCAAATACTAAACGGTACCGAATTATGCAAACATGAACATTTCTTCTTCTTTGTTTTAATACATGAAATGATGACGTGCAATTTCTACATGCAAAATCCAGATACAATATTTGGCTAAAAACTTTCATGAAAAGCCTTTATTTGCTTTGTGACATGCTGACATCACCACGTGCTGTCTATATGCAATGTAAAAATGAAATTCCATGTGGGAAGCCATCTAACGAAGCTAAGCATTATGCAGATTCATGAAGACTTTAACGTGGACAACAAAAGCTCAAATTGGAAAAAAAAAAAACGAATTTAGACTAGAACAATCATATTTAAGCTTAAGACTGCCCATGAACAGTCACGCCACCTCTTAAAAAAAATGAACTTGGCAAGAGATGAACAAATCATGAACAGTCACATCAATACTACCGTAAGCGTTCTGAGCAGCGACGAACAAATCCCTATCAAAGCCTCGACTCAAACAGCGGCATTGTCACAATGAAACAGCGACAGACTTGGCAACGTCCCCAACTGCGGGAGTGTACCACACGAGCAGCGGCACAACAGTATTGAGCAGCGATGCTGGACCAGAGCAAACAGGGCGTTTACTTCCTCAAGTTCACGGCCACAAATCATCAAATCGACAGTCGCAGCGAGTTATGTTGTCATTGGTGATGGCTGCTCATGAAAGTCTAGCAATTTGGTGTAGCAACTTGGCGATGGCTCGATGAGGCAGTCCAATGAAAAGCGACAAAACAGAGCAGAGATGAAGAAACACATCTAGAATGAGTCGAAACTCTGCTGGTGATTAATCGGAGAGAAATGACCTGGTGGTGAATGTTCTCTTTGTTTCCTCTATCGTCCCTCTCTCATTTGTGTGTGTTTTGGCCTGAGTCTGCTGGTGTCCCTCCAGTCGAGAGCTTCTCTCCTTTTATCCACTGCAAATAGCCCAGCCATCTGCCTTTTCTTTCCTTGCCCGTTTCATACGCCCATGCCCTGTTTCTTCTCTGTTTTCTTTTTCTTTTGTTTTTGTCTTGTTGAGCTCCTCCACCGGATTTCTTCCTTCCTTTTCTTTCGTTCTTCAAGAAAACAATGTTAACGGTGTGGTTGTACTCGTAGATTTGCAGCTTGTCCATCTTTTACGCTTTTGGTCATCCATTGTAAAGAATGTGAATGCAAGACAATGCAATGTCGATTTTTTTAAGGGGTCAAACTCTATCGGTTTTACTGAATTCGATGCCTAATTTTTATGAAATAATGAGAGGTGTTTAGGCGAAAATTTAGGTGTTAACAACCCACCGTCGAAGCCAGAATGATCACTACCGCCATGAATTCTCCATCACACATGCTTGTGGCCGACAAATCCGATTGTAACTTTGGAATTTTTTCTCTTTTAGTGAACTATATGATTTTTTTTCCATGTGAACGGTATGTTTTTGTTTGGTCGAAACGGGAATGGTACGTTAATTGCTACTATTTTGTTTTCTGCCAATGATGCCAGCCCGAACATGTCATGTGTACCTTCACCAATTGGCTCATGTGAAGGTCAATGTCCAATCCAAACAAAAAGAAAAGAAGAAGTTAATACCCATGCGGATAGAGAGAAAGAAAATCCTTAGCCAAAACTTGGTGCGCAAGACATGGATGAGTAACGTGCAATTTGTGCACACAAAAGGGAATGTGAAGGTCAACGGGCTCGTTCTAACAATTTAAAATGACCTAGAGTTTCTGGGTCTTTAAGGTGCGGTCGACCCTGATGTTCAGAAAAAAAAAAAGGTGCGGTCGACCCACCAACTAATTTTCATATTAAACCACAAGTAAACAGAAACTTTAGGTCTATTTAAAACGCCCAAAAGAACTTCCACTTCCCAACATCCGAGGACAGAACCCAATCTGGTACGTTCATCTCTAATATCTCTCTCGATCTGCTCATGGTATTTCTACATTTAACCACACATACTGTGAAGCTGCAATAACACTTGCCCTCCATATAGGATCCCTCCATTCTAACGATTTTGTTTGAACTTTCAGACCTATTTTCTTTGCCAAGCGCGAGAGCGGGATATATAGAGTTCCGGACTGCTCCGATGGAGGCCCTCAACACCGCTGCAAACCATCTTCTGGCGATAGAAAGATCCATCCCCGTCGCAGTCCTACCAGAACGAGACACGCCTGGGGGTTCCATCTTCTTAAGTAGCATTGATAACGCGGCTTTGTCCATCATATCGACCGTTTATACTTTCAATAGGAGCGACGCGAATGTGGCAGGCGTGATTAAGCATGCTCTTTCCAAAGTTTTGGTTTATTACTATCCGCTTGCAGGGAGGTTAGCTAAGACTTCTCAAGGGAAGCTGACCGTCGATTGCGAAAAGAAGTTTGGAGTCCCATTTGTGGAGGCATCCGCCGATTGTCACATCGAAAATCTGGGTGATATGCAAATTATTGATTCGGATATTCTAGGAAAGCTTGTTTACAGAGAGCCTACTGAAAATATGCTGGAAGTTGGACCCCTTTTAACAGCACAGGTAACAATTCCTCTCTCATTGCTGGTAATAATTGACAGGGAAATTACACACAAAAAAAAACTCCAAAATCTATTGTACTTGTGCCAATTCATTCATAAACCTTTTAATTTGGCAAATTTAATCTTAAACCTTTTGATAATTTGCCAATTTAGTCTTAAACCTTTTAATTGTACCAATTGAGTCCTAAATCTTTTAACTATTTGCCAATTTAGTCCTAAACCTTTTGACAATTTGCCAATTTAGTTATTTCGGCATTGACAAGGAAGGATTTTGTAATTTTTTTAAAATTTCCTGAATTTTTTTCCTTTTTTTCTTTTTTTCTTTCCTTTATTCTTCCTTTATCTTTTTTCTATTTTCCTTATTTCCCTCCGCCGGTCGCCAGACTCGATGACGGCCGGCGGAGGTCACCAGCCACCGTCCCAACCCTTGCCGACCACAAGCAAGGTCAACCCTCCCCAAATCTGGCAAGGGCATCGCAACCCTTGCCCTCACTGGCAGCCAGTGACTTTTTCAAGCATCACTAAAGCCCGCGACTAGTGGAGGGAAATAAGGAAACAAGATAAAAGAGAAAGGAAAAAAAATAAGCAAGAAAGGAAAAAAGGAAAAAAAATCCATAAAATTTTAAAAAATTGCAAAACTCTTCCATGTCAACACTGGCCATTTCACCTAGGATGACCGGTGCTAATTGGATAGCCATGTCAGTTATTTCCAACCAAAATTAGCCAGAATGACTAAATTGAAAAATCATCAAAAGGTTTAAAATTAAATTAGCAAAAAGTCAAAAGATTTAAGACACAATTGACGTAATTGAAAAGTTTAAGACTAAATTGGTATAAATGCATTAGGTTTAGGATTTTTTTGGTAATTTTCCTAATAATTGATTGCCCTTTACGTTCTATTTTCTTTGGCTTTCTCGTCCACTATAACAGTGAATTTGTTTTGGTAGCTTTAGTTTCACACAATACTAGATTGTTAAAATATTGTCCTACATCACTTGATAAAGACTTTTTATATCCTCTTTATATACCCTCCACCTAATATCTGCTTTGGGGTGTTTTCTAAAATAGAAAATGTCACATTTTACATGCATCCTTGATGTAGTTTGTGATGGAGTTACTATTTATTTATAATAAATGCGTAACTTTCTCAATGTTGTTGATGAATTTTCATATAGGAAAAGTCAAGTTATTATAAAGTAGAAATTTCTTCATAACTTTGCATGATCGAAAAGTAAATTTGACCTGTCAATTCTTACAATAAGTAACTTATCTCTAATGTGTTTAGCAACCTTTTATGTGGAAAATTTAAGTATTAGCACGTTAGTATAGTAACTGGCATTTTCTTCATAACTTTCCATAATCGAAAAGTAAATTAGACCTGTCACTTTTTACTATAAATAACTTCTCCCTAGTGTTCGACCTAAAAGAAGAAACTTTTCTCTAGTGTGTTTAGCAACCTTTTATGTGGAAAATTTAAGTATCAGCATGTTAGTATAGTAACTAGAAATTTCTTCATAAATTTCCATAATCGAAAAGTAAATTTAACCTGTCAGTTTTTACAATAAGTAATTTCTCTCTAGTATGTTTAGCAACCTTTTATGTGGAAAATTTAAGTATCAGCATGTTAGTATAGTTACTACTATTATCTAGATGTGGTATGAAACTTTTTTTCTGTAGAATAATAACTGCCAAAATACTTGCAATTAAATACAGCTGGTAATAATATTTCTAATTTATCATGATAACTTTCAAGACTTATAACAAGCTTGTAACTATTCCATAAACTTGATACCTTTCCACTGAAAGAGTAACTATCGATTATCGAATTATCGCCATTAAATTACTCCATGGATGTTTTCCCTCCCGTAAGAAATCTCATTAGTCTCACCTTGCTAAGGTCTGTTTAGTAAAAATGATGTGATGTTATTACAAAAACTAGGTGCATTTACTCTGGGTCCATCTCCAACATTGTTGAATTTAGTAACTTTGGGAAAATTACTGAAAAAGTGATAAACCTATTGTACGGATGCTAATTTAGTTCTAAAATTTTCAATTTAGACAATTTAGTTTCAAACATTTTAAAAATTAGCTTATGTAGTTATTCCGGCCAATTTTGGCCGGCAATCATTGACATGGATGCTGACTGTTCTATGTGGCACGGCGGATGACCGGCACTGACGTAGACAATTTTCTTACATTTTTATAATTTTTTTCTTTTTTTTCCTTCTTCCTTTGCCAGTTGCCGGGCCTTGCCTATGGCCAAAGAGGTCCAGCAACTGGCGAAGGAAAAAGGAAAAAAAGAAAGCAAAGAAAAAAATTATAAAAAATTTAGAAAAATTGAAAATATTATGCAAAAAATTATCCACGTCAGCGCCGATTGCTCCACTTAAGACGGCTAGCGTCCACATCAACAATTTCCTGCTTAGAATGACTACATTGGCAAATCCTCATAATGTTTAGGACTAAATTGACCAAATTGACCAAATTGAAAATGTTAAAATCAATTGGCATTCGTACAATAAGCTTATAACTTTTTTGGTAATTATCCCCGTAACATTAGACTCATGAGATTCGACATTTATTTGGATGCAAGGAGCATGCGGTCAATTTATGAAAAAAGGTCATGCAAGAACTTATCCATATAAGTTACATTCTTGCATTTTGTAATGGGATATTAGTAACTCTAGAGACTGTGTGAATAGGTAACAAGGTTTAAATGTGGAGGCTTCACTTTAGGAATCGCAATTCACCACTGCATGGTCGACGGTATCGCCGCAATTAATTTCATGAGCTCGTGGGCTGAGTTAGCACGAGGCAAACCATTATCCCTTGTCCCTTGTCGTGATAGAACCATTTTGAAGTCAAGGGTGCCACCTCAGATCAGCGGTCCTTATGACGACTTTGTTCACGTGAGTGATGTATCGGACCTCACGGCATCATACGAGAGAGAGCAAATTGTATTTAAATCTTTCCACTTTGACTGTGAGAAGCTGGCGACCCTAAAGAAAAGGGCAACGGCCGATGGACAATTAATGAGCAGCTGCTCCAACTTTGTCGCGCTCGCGTCTCTAGTATGGCGGGCTCGAAGCATGGCACTCAAGATGAAACCACACCAACTATCGAAGCTTCTCATAACGGTCGATTTCCGATCGAAGCTAAGAACATCGATGCCTGAAGGATACTTTGGGAATGCCATAATTGCACCTTGCTGTCTCTGCACCGCCGGAGAGTTGATCGATGAGCCGATCTCATCCACTGCAGGAAAAATAAAGAAGGTGGTCGAGAGGGTGACTGAGGACTACGTGCGGTCGTCAATCGACTTCATGGACATGTATCAATTTGATCCTTACTCAGTGAGCTCACTATTGATAAGTTCATGGTTGAGGCTGGATTATGGCTGCATAGACTTCGGATGGGGAGCGCCATGGCAGCTCGGTACCGGCAACCCACCACCAAATCTCTGCTTGTTTATGAGGGAAGGGAGTGCGAATAAGAAGGGTATTGTGGTGGTGTTGGGTTTGCCACTTTCGGCCATGAACACATTCCAAGAGTTGGTTCGAATATAAACATATTACCAGAGATTTGAACACCTTCAAGAGAGCTCCCGTATCATTCCAATAATGCCACTTATTAATTTATGTTTTTTGGACAAGCGCGAAATTTGATACTCAGATGTTCTCTGTTTAATTAAGACAAATTCAATTAACTGTGGTTTGTCTTTGTTTACTCATTTTACTACTATTGCATGCAGCAAGTTCCCATTCTCTCAATACTACTCCTTTCCATTTATACTTGATCTAGGCATAAATTGCTATCCATTCTATTATTCTTTTCATTACCTCTAGTGAGAAAATGTCAAGTAATCAGTCAACCAATTGGAGGTGTTTAAAATTAGTTTCTTTCTCTTTCTTCGTATGAGTCATCCATTCATTCTTCAATAGGCACGCGGTCAGAGTTCTAATAGTCTCCTCCCACCACTTGGGAGTCTTACAGTTTCTTTCGCCACCTAAGGCTCTAGTATGTTCCAAGGGTTGGGCTGTTCACCCATTAAAGCGGTAGGTGAACCGGGTTCGTATTTAAAAAAAATAAAGATATCGGAATCCATTCATAACGATAGGAGTCGACCCTCCTTGGGAATTGAGAAAATTGAGAGCATTTTTTTTCTGGCCCTCTTTGTTGTGTCGATCATAGTTCGACATGAGAAAGTGTTGATTGCAAGATTTACGTTACGTGTCACCAATCAAAAATGGATTTACAACTTATTTAAACTCAACTCATTTCTCGCTCTCACTCATTCTCGTGTTCACTTGCACCATACTCTTACCTCAGTTTGGGTATTAGTTGTCCTAGATTGAGTTAAATATAGAAGTGTTTTAGTAATATGAGTTGGGTCGGGTATGGGTTGGGTGTGGGTTGGGTCGAGTATGGGTCATTAGATTTGTATTATATTGAAATGGGTCAAAACGTATTAAATGGGTCTATTTAGATTGGACCATTTTCAATCTAACCTAAACCCGACCCAACCCAACCCACCCATTTGACAAGGGTAATCAAAACCAACTAAATTACAAAATTACTTTTTTCCTCATAAATGGCTGCTCAAAAATCGTATTTCTGAGTTTGAATCCAACTGCCTAGCCCTGGTTTCTATTTTTCTATTGTTTGGTAAACAAACTTCTGAAAATTGATGCCTTTTCGCCTAATGCAAGGGTCACGAGCCGTAAATGCATTAATCAACTAGACAGAAAATCTCTATGAAGGTCCGCGACATCTAAACAATCGAAAGCTGTTTATACAGAAGACTTTTCAAAATCTTTGAAAAATCACAAAAATTTCTGGGTCTAATTAAGTGGAGTCTCCGCAGGCACTTCAGTTGTGCAACCCAATAATGGGAAGTGATGAACGATATCTTTCTCTCACTGTTCTCTCTCTCAAGCTCTTGAAGGTGTGCAGCCTTTTCCCGATTCATTAAGTTCAAGCTGTTTAGCAGGATCCATTTGGTCGTCTATGATTGTACGATTTTAGCCAAATTACAATCGTCATGCCCATCAGCGATAATGTAATCCTTTATGCGGAAATTCAATATCAAAGAATTTTAGCTCTTCATAATTTATTCACGACAGTAGAGATGAAGACACATACATACCTTTATCCATAACAATAACTTTGAGAAAAAAAAATTGTTGCAGAATTAGGAGAAACGAAGAAATTTGATTTCTCTCCCTTAACTCACTTTTCTTAACTTATTTTATCTGATGGAGAATAGAATACAACTTTCGTTGTCTATGGGTGGAGAGAGGACCAAACTGTTTATATAAGCTAAGCTATCAATAAGTGTTTTCAACAAGTACCTTCCATCAAAGCAAATTATCATATTCTATCTTCATAAAAGTTACAAATGATAACCAATACGTTTTTTTAGCGTTTAAATAATTATTAAACCATTAATAATATCATATGGGCCATTATTATTCTTACATTCTCCCACTTGGTCCACATGACCTTTCTTTCAGGGTTTAATGAAGACCATAATATGTTCAATAACATTGTGATAAAACCTTTCTTAAATTGGCTATCATAATTAAGTAAAGAAAATTAATGCGAGTCATAGCGGTTGTATGTCAGTAATCGACATAGGCCCTTCAATGTACTATGACTATAGTTTTCTACTTAACATGATCCATAAATGAGAAGTATCGTCCAACTATAATGTCTTTATTAGAGATTATTGTGTTAAACCTTCATCTATTTCCATCATGTATACTAAATAGAAAATAGGAAATATCATAAACACGTATATGAGCTCGGAGTGTCAAATAAATAAACTTAATGGAATCATAATACAATATCATTAATGACGTCCAAAAATATCTATCCTTTCAACATGTTTATTAAATATTTTGGGTGGCAGACCTTTTGTTGCAATCTTAGGGTTGGTGCTAATGTGCTCAATTGAGACTCTCTGTTTCTGAATTAACGAGCAAGTAGTTAATTTCCATATTTTTAGCACAATTAAAATACTTGTCGTTCTTATAGAAGATAATTGCTGCAGAGTTATCACAATAAATTTTCAGCAGCCTGGCAAAACTGTCGACAATCACAAGCCCTGAAATAAAGCTTTGCAGCCATAACCCATGAATAGTAGCCTCAAAGCATACCACAAACTTAGCCTCCATACTGGATCCAACAATGATTGATGCTTCGAACTTTTTCATGAAATTGCCTATTTAGAAAAACGAACAAGTAGCCAAACATTGATTTTCTTGTATCGGCACATCCGGCTAAGTCTAAATTTAAATATCTAATCTCCTCAAGATGATCATATCTTTTTATAACTGAGCATATAATTCTTAGTTCCTTGAAGGTATTTGAGAATTTCTGTTGTAACTTTTCAGTGATCCAATCCCCTGGGTTACTTTGATACCTGCCTAACATTCCAACAGCAAATATGATCTCTGGTATGGTGCAAGTTTGAGCATACATTAAGCACCCAACAATAGATGCATAAGGAATATTTCTCATTTGCTCTTGTTCCATTTATTTTTTCGGACATTACATAAGGCTAAATTTGTCCCCTTTCTAAATTGGAACTACTCCTACTGAACATTTATCCATATTGAATCTCTCTAAAATTTTATTAATGTAGGCTTTTTGAGATAACCTTAACAATCTATTATGAAAAATTTCTATTCCTATCACATAAGTTACCTCTCCCATATTTTTAATTTTGAAATTCTTAGAGAGAAATTTCTAGGTTTCATGTAACAAAGTAATATCATTAGTAGTAAGCAAAATGTCATCAACATACTGAACTAGAAAAATAAACTTGCTCCCACTGACCTTTATAAACATACATACATACATATATATACATACATTTATATATACATACATATATATACATCAATCAACAGTATTTTCCTTGAATCTAAAAGAAGTTATGGTATCATTAAACTTAAGATACGGTCGTCGAGCAGCATGATTAAGTCCATATATTGACTTCTTTAATTTAAACACCATGTGTTCATTTCCTTTAAATGAAAAGCCCTCGGGTTGGTTCATATAAACCTTTTCTTCTAAATTTTCATTAAGAAATGCAGTCTTGACATTCATTTGGTGTAATTCTAAATCGTAATGAGTCACTAAAGCCATAATGATTTTAAGTGAATCTTTCTTGGAGATTAGCAAAAAGGTCTCCTTATAATCAATGCCTTCTTTCTAAGTAAAACCTTTAGCAACAAGTCTGGCCTTATACCGTTCGATATTACCTTTTGTATAGCGCTTGATCTTAAAGACCCATTTACGCCTAACCATTTTACATGCTTCAAGTAATTCAACAAGATTCGAGACTTGGTTTTGATTCTGATTCATAGATTCTAACTCTTCTTCCATAGCATTAAATCATTTTGTAGAATCATCACATTCCATAGCCTATGAAAATGAACCTGGATCATTACTAATTTCTAAGTGAATTTTTTACTCTTATAGATAAACCACATAGTCATTAAAAATAGCTAACCTCCTTTCTCTTTGAGATATTCTTAATGCTATTTCTTGTGGCTCAACTACAGTAGGTTTAATATTGACATTTTTATTATGAAGTGGTTGATCATTTATTTGTTGTTCTTGATTAATGTTGGGTTGAACTATGAAAAGCTGAATCTGTGGGGAATTCGAAGAATGACCCTCAACATGAAACCGCACCAACAAACAATGCTCACTTTTCTGGTTGAGTTTAGGTCTAAGCTAGGCCCTTTGATCCCCAATAGTTTCTTTGGAAATGTCGTGGTCTTCCCATGCGGTCTTTGCACCACGGGAGAGTTGATTGATGAGCCGATCTCTTCCACCGCAGAGAGAATAATCGAGGCAATCGAGTGGGTGAACGAGGACTATGCGCGGTCAAGGATCGACTATTTGGAAAGGTATGGATTTAAAGAGATTTCCCTAGGCACACTACTAGTAAGTTCGTGGACGAAGCTGGCTTATGGCAGCACGGACTTTGGATGGGGAGAGCCGAGGCAATTCGGGACTGGTGGCCTGCAGACTAAGTCCTGCCTGTTTTTTAGGGGAGGGAGAGATAATAAGGACGTTGTGGGGGTGTTGGGTATGCCATTTTCAGCCATGAACACCTTCCAAGAGTTGTTCCAAGTTAAAGTTTTTTTTTTTGGTTGGAAAAAAGAAAGTTAAACTTGGAACAACTCTTTCAGGCAAGTTTAAGGTGTTCATGGCTGAGAGGTATTTTATAGAAAAAGAACAAAGCTGACAAATGGTGGAAGTTTAAGTTTTGTTTTTTGGTCGGAAAATATTTTTTTGGTCCGATTGTGAAAGTTTAAGTTCACTAGCCATAAATATACATCTTCAACAGAGCTTGTTCATGGTTCCAATCTATGAATCAGTTTTTGAGTTGGTGTGACAAACGACAAGTTTTCTAAATAAGTTGAATGTGTTCAACAATCGACAATTGTCTTCCCTGTCATCTATGAATCATTTTTTGTAATTTATTCTCAAGTTCCATTTGTTTCGCAAAAAATATGATTTGAAATGTATTTTTCTAAAAATGATTGTT